CAAAGTCTAGATTGAACATATTACAAGTAGATTATTGCAGGACTTCATCAATAAGCTTACTTACCTGTAAATGCTCTGTTGGTGTGTCAAAGACACCACAGAGTCTTGCATCATCTGCACATTGATAAAAGCAAGGCTTGGATGAGTCATTCAAAGTTTCATTTTCACATTGCCTATAAAATTTTAATCTCAAAAAGCAACATTATATCTGTACCTGTTTATTAGAATTGAATTTGGACTTCTCCTCACAGTAAGAATTGACTGAAAATTGTTTGTCAATGCTGTCATCATAGCCTATAAAATTAATGTCATCACAATGAAAAAGTAATCTCAAAATGGTTCCATACCCTAACTCTGTCTTGCGCCGGCTGAGATAATCTATAGCATAAAAAGAGTTTAATTATGTTTAAAACACTATTTTCTTAACTTCAATAGTTAGTTTACACATGTGCAATAGTGCATGGAATCTGCATGCATGCACCAATTCCCTATGTGCATGAAGTACATGTAATTCCAAATATTGCCAGCTAGCCCTGATTCATTTACAGGCTACTCAAAAAGCTATTGTGTAGCCAAGTGTCTATAAGGTTTAGGGTTTGTAATAATGAATAAGTTAGTAATACTGGGTGCCTATTTCCTTGCTTCAAACTATAAAAAACATTTAAGAAAGAATCTGCTATGATTGCTTTCATCAACTTACACACACAGCTGGTATTTCTTTTTACTAAGAAATTTTCGCTTATAATATTGTGTGCTTAATACACACTAAAGGGCAGATATATAATCTCATAAACTCACGATCCATCATGTGCAGTAAAGTTGTAATGAACAAATATACGGATAGGTTGATTAAAAGCAGCATTTCCACCAGCATTTTTTGTTCTCTTATTTGAATCTTTAATGTGTGTCTTGCTTAATTTGAAAAACTACAAATTTAAAGAAAAATCAGCACAATGCACACACTAAGGATATTTATATACTTCTTTAGGTAAATCTTCATGAGAGCATTCATACTCATCGCTGATGACTGTGTTTGCCAAGGCCAAAGACAAAAACAAGAGGCAGTAGTATGAAGTCTTCATTCTTTTTTGCTAGACAACCACTGGAATGCAAAAAATAAATAAGCCAATTAATAATAGTGACATCATACATATATGTTCATGTACGTCATAGTTACTAAGGCCTCGTTTACATGACGACGCTAGCCTAATCTGCATCGTTTTTGCTATTACTGTTTTCAGGTGTTTACACTAAAGGTGGATTCTCAATATGACGCATGTGTGTCCGTCACGACCGGAAGTGCTGTATAAACCAATGGGAGCATGCATCAATGCATCAGATTAGAAACATTTCTATTCTGACGCATTGA